GGAGGTGTAGGACGTGTGGGATGTGTAGAACGTCAAGGGGGTGTAGGACGTGTAGAACGTCAAGGGGGTGCGGGACGTGTAGGAGGTACGGGAAGTGCGGGAGCTACAGAACAACAGGAGGAGGATGAAGAACAAGTCGAAACGCAAGCGACGCAGGACGTTGAGGTCAAACGGGAGGTCAAACGGGAGGTCAAACGGGAGGTCAAACAGGAGGTCAAACAGGAGGAAACGAAGGAGATGAATCCGGAGATAAAGCAGTCACACCACGCTGAACACTTCTCTGAACACCACGCTGGACACCACCATGAACACTACAATGAACATTTCCCAAAAACAGGTTCGTTGAATTCCTTCGTGGATTCCTCCGTGGATTCCTCTGTGTACTCAGTGGATCCTGCAGCGTCTATCCATGCTCTGAACTCTACTCCGCGTTCAGGTCCCCCTTCGAACACAGACTTCACTGACTCCTTCGCTGGACGAGAAGAGGAGGTCGATGTCAAGGTTGATGTCAAGGTCGGTGAGGAGGAGGAGGAAATAGACGAGTTGATCAACGATACCCCCTCTCAATCACCTACCCTCCCTCCTACCCTCCCTCCGCATCACTCTTTCGAACTCTTCATCAAATCCCCTATCTCCTCTATCAGATCCCCTACCTCCTCTACCTCCTCTACCTCCTCTACCTCCTCTACCTCCCCTACCTCCTCTACCTCCCCTATCTCCTCTATCTCCTCTAACTCTTCCAACTCCTCTATCAGGCCCATCAGGTCCCCTAGATCCTCTAAGATCCCAGCTACCTCCGCTCCCGCATCTGCGTTCATCAGCGAGCTCATCGAAACTTCTTCCCTTCCGGGGATTTCGACTTGCTCGGAATTCGGTGTCGTTGGACCTCGGCCTCGGCCTCAACATGGAAACGGAAACGGAAACGATATCATCATCATCATCACTCCCGAGTGTAAACGGGATCGTGTGGAGCAAAATGTCGGGGAAGGTAGTAGAAGTGGTGTTGTCGCAAACGATGTTAGTGGTAAAGGTGGAGGTGTGAGTGGTAAAGGTGAAGGTGTTAGTGGTAAAAGTGAAGGTGCTAAAGGTAAAGGTGAAGGTGTTACTGGTAAAGATGAAGGTGTTAGTGCTAAAGGTGAAGGTGGTAAAAGCGAAGGTGTTCTCCTAAACGGCGTTAGTGGTCATGGTAGTGGTGGGAAGAAGAAGAAGAAGAGCACCGCCGCAAAAGGGCCTACCGCAAAAGGGCCTCACGAAAAACGTACTGCCGAAAAACATGTTGTCGATAAACCCAGCCCGAATCGTGCTAAAACCACTCCGGGTGTTATCCCACCTCCTACTGGTGGTCCTGGTCTTGGTGCCGGCGATGCTGGTCCCGGTTTTGGTCCCGGTGCTGGTCCTGGTCCTGGTCCCGGTGCCGGCAGTGCTAGTGATGCAAAAACGGCCCAAGCATGGGTGTTACAAGGGAGACGAATAGAGAGGTGTGTTATACTCATCCTTCCATCCTTCGTTAATATTCAATCTTCTTCTTCTTCTCTCTGACTCTCTGACTCTCTGAATGTTTGTTCCTTCACCTCATCACCCTCTTCATGTATCATATATCACACCATCTCCACCCTCCATACCACACCATATTCAACCTCCATACCACACCATACCATCCCCCTCTTTCCCAAACTTAGCACCGACCTCCCCCAAGCACTCGCGTACTACCGCCACGCGGCGACGTTCGTGCCGGATAATGTCAAGTTGAGAGATAGGTGTGTGGATTCTTCGACTTCGTCTTCTTCTTCGTCAGCTTGTTCGTTTTCGGTTTCTTTGGTTTTGGTTTTGGTTTTGGTTTCGATTTCGTCTTCGGGTTTTCGTCTTCGGTTTTGTCTTCGGTTTCTTCGGTTTGCTTGGTTTCGGTTTCGTCCTCGTCTTCCCGTACCCCTCCTCCCATCCATCAACATCCTCCGCATCTTTCCTATACTCCTTCTTCTCCTTCTCCTTTGTCTCCCCGTCCCTCTCCATCTACTCCCCCTCTCCCTCCCCTTTCTGTCCCCCCTGCTGCTGCTGCCGCTTCTCTTCTACCTTCTCCACTCCCTTCTCCTCTCCCTCGACCTCTCCCTTCTCCTCTCCCTCGTAATCACACCCCAACCACCCCAATCACACCCCACCCACCCCACCCATCGAACCCACACCCAGATTCCTCTACGGGATGTATCTCACCCACTTACCTGGAACACTGGGCAGTGGTGGGGGTGCCACTTCCGCGGAACGATTTAGATTATGTGGGTTGAGACTATCTGGGTTGAGATGCTGGTGATTCTGCTGGTGTTGCTGGTAATGATGCTGGTGCTGGTACTGTTACTCCGGCTCCCACACGTATCCCGAAATCGATATCGAAAAAGCCACTTGTTTCCTCGGAACGTAGTACAAGTACAGAGCTGGAGTCCAAATCCAGACCCACGACACCCAAACCCAAACCCAAAGCCCAAATACCCACATTCAACACCCAAAATACCCACATTCAACACCCAAAACACCCACACCCAAACAACGTTTTCCAATCACAATACTCTGTTTTGAGATCTCATTCGATTTCGGAGGACTTTCTTTATATCATGGAATTATATCATCTTACTCCCAAATTTGTATTATCATCATCACCCCCCCCTACTCCTTCGTCAGACCTCAAGGCCTCATCGTTCATCGTTCCACCTTCGTTTATCCTATTCCCAATCCTAATCTTAATCTCAATCCCAATAAACTCATACCAATACCAATACTAATCACAACCCCAACAGAATAACCTCCATCTCACACGCCATCGCGACCAACCGTCCCCTCCCCGCGTCACCTCAACGGCCGTGTCCGAATCTGGCTCGTCCATTTGTTGCGGGGCGTGGGATGTTACGGGTGAGGAGACGGGGGGAAGGCGGTGGCGGGGTCGAGGGGGAGGAAAAAGGAAAAGCACAGGTGAGAGGGAAAGGAAAGGGGAAAGGAACCTGGCTGGGTGGTAGGTCTGACAAACCCACACCTTCCTGCCCGCCTGCAGTACCTGCGACTGAGATTGCACACAAAGTAGTCAAGATCCAGGGCACGAAGTCAAACTCGAACTCGAGAAAGCGGAAGCTTGGTATTTTATTCCAAAATGATGATGAGGAGCGTCTGTTCGAAGATCCTCCACTATCGGGATTGGGATTGGGACCGGGACGGAACTTGGCTCAAAGTAATGGGAAAGGCAAGGGGAATCAATGCGGGAACGCAAACGAAATCGCAATCGAGATCGGAAGAAGGGTTGAAGACAAAGGCAAAGACAAATCACAAGCGACTTCACCAATCATTATCATCTCAGATGACGAGGAATACATCGAGGAAGAAAATACGGAGAGAGGGAGGAGAGATGACAAAGGGAATGCACATGCACAAGGGAAAGGAAAAGCACGAGCTGTTTCAACATTGAACATCGCAGGAACTTCTCCTATATTCGAGAACGACGACGGTGACTGGGAACTCCCTGCATCCGCATACGCGGATTTAGATTCTCATGTTCGTCAACACAACGGATTTGACGAAGCCAGTGGTTCTTTACCTTCCAGATCTGGCTTTCCTTCTGGTTCAGGCATTCCCCAATCCCCTCCGAATACCCATACCCAAGTCCTCCCTCACCACCCTCTTTCTCTACATTCTCTACATTCTCCACCTCCACCTCTCGTTTCCCCCTCTGCCTCATTTTCACATTATTTCGATCTCGCTGCGATTCCCACCTCGACTCCTGCTTCTACACATCTTCCTCCGACTCCTGCTCATCTTCCTCCTGCTTCTCCTCATCAACCCCTTCCGCCATCTCCTCCTCTTTCTCGTCGAGTACTTTTCCCTTCACCTTGCACCGCAGAACCGAACCCTCCTCCAGCTAACCCCGTTATCCCCCGCACTACTCCCAGCACCGATGCACAAACCGATACTTCAGACCAACAACAACAGATTTACGTTATCGACACCGACACCGATGATCACATGGAGATCGACGAAGTCGCCGATGTACTTGAAGCCAAGGTGAACTCGAATACCGTTGGATCTAAGTCTCCGGCTTCGCGTGGTCGGGATGCGTTGGTGGATATCGAAGAAGAGGCAAAGGAAGAGGAAGAGGAAGAGGAAGAGGAAGAGGAAGAGGAAGAAGGGAGTGTTAGAGTTGACGACGCTGTTGACCCTAGGTCTAAACCTCGGCGTGAACCTAAGGCCAAGCCATCGGAACTTCTCACCATGGAGGCGTTGTTCGAGAGTTTGTTGGAGGGGGAGGATAACGATGAAGGAGGGAATCAATTCACGCATTCAACACACCACACGAACACGAAGAATACAACGCAGGATGATAACAAATCCCTAAATACGGCGAAACAGAAATCAACCAAGCCCAAGTCCAAACCCGAAACCAAATCCAACACCAAATCCAAATCCAAGTCCAAGTCCAAGTCCGGAGCTAGCCGCGCCCCCAAATTCAAAATCAAAGACCCGACCGCCACCGACGCACCTGAATCCTCCACTTCCTTATCAACATATATCCCATTTTTAAACTCGAGTGTCCCGCAACCGCTGAAGCTAAAGCGTAAACGATACATCTACGGGAGCTCAGACGAGGATGAGTATGATCATTTGGAGAAGGAGAAGGATAAGGAGAGGGATAAGGATAAGGAGAGGAAGAGGGAGAGGGAGAGGGAGAGGGAGAGGGAAGTTTTCGAACGACAAAGTACTGCTCCGGGACCAGTAAAGAAGAAGCGGTTGAACTGATAATTGGAATTCAATGTACATGCTAGTGTAGGAAGAAGAAGTTGAAGATCGAGATGAAGAAGATGGTGTCGATGGAGATGATGGTGTCAATAGGTAAAGTTCTTGTTCAGATATGTAGACAGAACCACATAATTAATGGCAGTAAAAAGGAATTCTCGCTTGCAAGCACCGCTTGTGGTATCTAGCTAGCAGAGAATCAGCACAAAACATGGTCCCTTAAAGGTTTCTTATAGCAGCAACTTGTATCGATCAAGTTGACCTCGGGGTGCATAATTATCAGACTGCGCAGCATGTATCATGGGCCCCGCGCGCTACCACTGCGCCATGCTGCTCTATTAGTCGTTAGACTTCTCTTTCTACCAACTAGTTAATATTGCCGCACCCCGTCTTCGGTTGAAACGCGACACCTGGAAGAGCGGACGACTCGTTCTTCTTAACATCCATCCTCAACCCCTCGACCCCTCATGCACTAGGCCGCCTCGCACCACCAATATGACCTTGAAGGTTCTTCGGTATCGCTCCCTCCCGATGAATACATAAAAAAACAACGCGTTACTACAAGGAAATGTCTCCTTATCACGAAGACAAATTGAATCCGAATACTGGTTTATTGCAGGTCGTGAAGCGACCGACTGAGTTCAAGTTGCCGACGCGGTATGTCCCACGCGAATGGAATTGGGAGAGACGTTAAAGTCTGGTAGGGTCTGGTATCATGCCAAGACAATAGTTGTGCTTGCAACGGATAGATCCAACTCCAACTCAACGTACTCAAACTCAAACTCAACATACTCCAACTTAAACTCAACGTACTCCCACTCAAACTCCAACTCCAACGCAACCTCGACTTCGACTTCGAACTCGAAATTAAAGCAGAAGCTTGGTGTTTTATTCCAGGATGATTATGTCGATGTCGATGTCGATGAGGAGCAGTGTCTGCATTCGCGTCTGTCTCTGTTCGACTCGGATGATCCAAGTACACGTGTTCACGCTTGGGATCGGGACCGGGACCGAGACGGAATTTGGATCAAGGGACTCCATTTGGAGAGGATAGAGGGGAGAGCTTAGGAGTTATGAAACGTGTATATGTAAAGAGAAAGACCGGTGAAGGCGTAAAGATCGGTGAAGGCAAGCGGTATCGGAATCAATATGACAAAGAAACCGAACGTGAAAGCAAAGCCAAAGGAAAAGGGAACTCACGACCCGTTTCGGCGATTATCATCATCTCGGATGAGGAGGAATTCACTGAGGAAGAAAGGATGAAGAGGGGGAGGAGAAGGGACGACAAAGGAAAAGCACACACACAAACAGAAGCACAAGGAAAAGCAAAAGCAAGAGCAAGAGCACGAGCTTTCCTAATACCAAATATCTCAGGAACTTCTTCATCCAGAACGACGAAGACAACGACGGGAACTGGGAAGTCCCTGTATCTGTGTATTCAAATCCGGATGGTCTTGTTCGTCAGCACAGCGAATTCTACGGAGGTAGTGGCTCTTTAGCTTCCGGGTCTGGCTTAGCTTCTGGTTTGGGTGTTTCCTGATCCCCTCGGGGTACACAAGTTCAACCCCGTCATCCTCTTTCTCTCAGTTCGCCACATCCACCTCGGCTTCCCACTCTGCTTCAGTTTCATATTTCAAGCTTGCTCCAACTCCTGTTTATATTCCTCCAACTCCTGCTCATCTTAAGTTCCTCCAACTCCTGCTCATCCTCATCCAACCCCTGCTCATCGACATCTTCCCCCATCTCCTCCTCTTCCCCCATCTCCTCCTCTTTCTCGTCGACTTTTCCTTTTCCCTTCACCTTGCATCAAAGAATTCATCACCGAACCCCCATCACCCTCTCATCACGATTCTCCTATTTTCTCCCATTTTCTACCGAGTCCTCCTTCTCCTATACCTCCCTCTCCAATACCTCCCTCTCCAATACCTCCCTCTCCAATACCTCCTTCTCCTATACCTCCCTCTCCAATACCTCCTTCTCCTATACCTCCCTCTCCAATACCTCCCTCTCCAATACCTCCCTCTCCAATACCCTCCTCTCCCGTACCTCCTGGTCCAGCGAACCCTGTTATCACCCGCATCACTGCGAAACCGAAACCGAAATCAACCAAGCTCAAACCCGAAACCAAGCCCGAAACCTACACCAAAACCAAGTCCAAGTCCAAACCCGCACCCTCACCCTGACCCTCACCCAAACACCCGCCCGCCACCGACCCAACCAAATCCTCACCGTTATCTTTCTCACCTAGTATCCCATCTATCCCACCTATCCCACCTCTAGTAAACTCGAGTGTCCCACAACCACTGAGGCTGAAGCGTAAACGATACGTCTAGGAGAGCTCAGAGGATGAGTATGATCACTTGGAGCAGGATAAGGAGAGGGAGAGGGAGAGGGCGAGGGAGAAGGAAATTTTCGAACGACGCAGGACTGCTCCGGGACCTGTAGAGAAGAAGCGGTTGAACTGATAATTGGAATTTGGGGGCACATGCTAGTGTAGGAAGAAGATGGAGATGAAGATGGAGATGGAGTGAAGATGGAGATGGAGATGGAGATGAAGATGAAGATGAAGATGATGGATGAAGATGATGGTGTCGATAGTAAAGTTCTTGTTTCTTGAGATGAATCGAATATTGAGGATTTAGAAAAAAGACTCAAAGTGTCAGTCTGTGTCAGTGGAGCTTCGCAATTTTTTCTTGTGCTTTCTATGCTACATACTGTAGATATGTAGACAGAACCAATTGATGGTAGTTGAAAGGTACACCACTTGTGGTATCCAGCTAGCAAAGAAGCAATCAAAACAAAACACGTTCTCCCAAAGGTTTCTTGTAACAGCAACTTGTATCGATGAAGTGACCTCGGGGTGCATAATTAATAACAGACTGCGCAGCATGTTTATGGGCCCCGCGCGCTACCACTACGCCATGCTGCTCTATTACTCGCAAGACTTCTCTTTTTACCCACTAGTTACTATTGCCACACCCCGTCTTCGGTTCGAACGCGACACCTGGAAGAGCGGACGACTCGGAAACGTCTTTTCTTCTCAACATCCATCCTCAACATTGCCAACTACAACTCTTGTTCCATTTATCAATCCTCAATGCAAATTGACACCAACCATTGTGCACGCTCCTCGGGTGTCTCGAAGACATGGTAGCGTACTGTCCTGGAATCAATTTGCCATACAATGTTCCCATCGATGGTCTCCAGTAGAATATCTACATAGCGCATTATCTCTGACCGCGTTTCAAAATCGCCAGGTGCGGTCTGCGCAATTGCATCGCGCTTGCATTGTTGAAATCGAAAATAAGCCTCTGATATTTTAATACCTGCAAAATCCAGTGCAGCCTGAATGTCTCCTGACTTCACTGGAATGGCAGGATCAACCATAGCTACCGATACAAGATTGTGGATGTCTTCTCCTTGTGCTTTCTCTTTTTTGTAGGAAATCAGATCCTGAAAGCCAGGGTGACTTAATCATTGTAAGTGTAAGAAATAGTCAATGCATACTACTCACATTAGGAAGTGCAATCAAATCAATTGTCGACTCAAGTAGACCCTCAAAAGCCGGTGTTTGCAGGATCTCGGGGCTTAGCTTGACTTGGGACATCCACCGGTTGAAAGCAATGACAGGATGTATGGCAACTACTTTGCGGCGGTGAGCAAGGTATGAGTCTACTGTGAAGGCTGATGGGTTTGTGCGATCATAATTTTCCTGTGCAGCTGCTTGAAGGTACAAAATGGTACCTTGAGTTGCGTCATAACGATATAACGGAGAAAGAGGGGGGAAGCATTTCCTTGCGAACCTGGACAGGTTCATGACGCATGTGAGCCATTGCTTAATCCAAAGGTTTAGTCAAGGACTCACTTTGCAGCGAGATGTACCAAGGTGTCTTTTTGCTTAGATGTGTCGAAAGGTTCATTGTCGGAACAAGCATTCAAGAGGTTGACCATGTAATCCAAATCAAATTGGCCTGCCTGGGCATTGGAAACGTCGCTAGCAGCCTAGTCACTTTTGCAATCCGGATATATAAAATTTGCGCACCTCATAACTTCAACTAAAAGAAGCAACACGAAGTAATCTAGATACACCCTCAATTGTGGCATATCCGCATCAGGTGCGTAGGCGGCAGCACAAAGCGGGAGCTGCGCTCCCTCGATCTCCTTGAGAGAAGTTAGATGGAATTCTTTAACCCACCAAGTGTAAGAAAATATGTACTTTTCTCTGAAAGGAACTAATAAGATGGTGAATCTTGTCAAGGAACAAAATGAATTCTGTTTCCAATTCAGGGTGGTAGTGGTTGACTTTGTAGTTTGGTCGGGATTGACGATCCAGGAGGAGGTCAATGTTTGGTAGTTGGTATTGAACAACGCCAGACATTTCGCACTGAGAATGATGATGCATTCTGAGTTGCATGGGTTTTATATCTCAAAGGTCCCATTCAATAAAAATCATTATCACATGCTCCGGTGGTAACGGTGATATTTTTTGAACAGGAGCAATTTCCCCCGGATAGGAAGTCCCGCTATGGCATAGTTGGAACTGCAATAGGATACAGTGTTAGAACTTCTCGGCCGGAATGTTAACAATGAGTCTATTAATTGCTATGTACTCGGAGATAGAGTTATAAGTATCGAAAGATCTGTATACGCATCCGTCCAAAGACGGAGTCCTGTACTGATAGGAGAGAATATGGAGATAAGATGGAATTGCTTAAAAATTTTTGGACCCAGTTTGGAGCGGCTCAACAGGTACATATATCATTTCCCACCCCGTCTTTCACGGGATGCAAAACTCTCGATGGCATGCATGTAGTCTCGTGCATTGGGCTCTGGCCACAGCTTGTCACGGATAAAGTGCAGCTCCGTTCTTTGTGTATCCCACAGCATGAATCCGCTTGTCCTATTTTCTCTTATATTAAATGACTAAAAGGAAAGAAAAAATACATGACAGACCTGCTTTCTGAAGTTCTGACGACCAAATCCACTGGGGGAACAGCTATCTTGGAGCAAAATGTCCTCCGACTAACATTTTCCTCGTTCAGTTCTTCCCCAGAATCTATCACATCTTTCACAGCAGATAAAACCTCATCCCTACCACCATATCTATAATTTCATGAATAATATGAACATATCAGATGCAGAACAATTGAGACAGACCCAACAGCAACAAGCATGATAGCATGCGAATAACTCTCTGTTTTCCTTTCCAACAGGTTAATTGCGTCGATGACATGCTGTGGAAGTCCCTTGTTTGTTCCAATGAAGCGGACACGAACTCGGGAGCGATGAATGCTAGCAGTAAATGCAATAGACCGGAATGTTAAGGTCAAAACTG